GATTGACTCTGAGGTCCTGAAGGTTTGTCCTGCACTGCTTGGTCCTGTTCACCGGGCTCACCCATGATCTGGGTCATTACTGGTTTTGGTCCTGGAAGGCTTTTCTTGGGAACTACTCTGGTTGCTCGAGTGGTGTGCTTCACTTCCCATGAATGGATTCCTACACTGCTGATTGCCTTGGCGTCGAAATGTTCAGGGCAACGCTTTGTACTTCTGCTAGCTGCTAGTTTTGATACCATCCATGTGCCAAGTGATGTACAAGTCGTTGTCAGACTTTCCTAAGAACACTCCTCTCAACCACAAAGGATCACCTTTCCTGCTACTCTTCACACCTGTCCTGTTAGCCAACACCATCAAACTCTCTCCAAACTCTGCCAAAGTTCCTTGAAACGGGCGACCTGAAATCCGCTCGTAAGGGGTCATCCCTGTTCCTGAGTGTCGATGGTACCTGTTGATTACCCAGCTGGCATGTCGAAATGCCCAACTGAAGATCGGATGCGTGTGTGCAACAAGGATTCCTGCATGCTCTTCCATGCCTTTGATCAAAGTCAGAGCTTGCCTACGGACGGTTTGGATAGCTCGTTCAGCCATGCCGTTGGTTTCCTTTTGTCTTGAAACTGCATCTTGCAAGTCCTAACGATGATCCCTGCTTCTGAATGACCTGCTTGAGCTTCTTCATGGTTCCTTCGTTGTCGGCTTTCAGGTTGATGGCTCCATACTGCAGTTGAGTGCTCATGCCTTTGCCTTTAGATGCTGTGGGAATACAGACAACATTCCTACTCCAAGAGTCAATGCACACAAGACATACTGCAGACGCTGCTTCATCGTAGCTAGTACCTGTGAAGCAAAAATCCATACAGAACGTAGGTCTAGATGATCTTTCCTTTTCAGGGTTCTCTCTAGGATGAGGCGACTCCTTTCCTTTACACGCAACACACACCGGACACCATGACGCATATGGCAGATGCGTCAAGTTGTGAACTGCTACCTCTTCAGGCGGCGGCATCTTTTGGTCCTTGAGTGGTTCGGCAATCGCATATTCCTGATACCTTTTCTGAGCTGTGCTAAGTTCGTGGGTTCTTTCAGCTTCCATGACGGTCCTACTGAGTCTCCTAAGAATGTCCTGCTTTGAACCAAACTTAGATACACCAAACTCGGTGCAAAGTCCTTTCAGGGTCTTCAGGCTGCTTTGCTGGTTGTACTCATACCCATTGTGGTTGAAAACAAGTTCTCCTGCAAGTTCGTACCTGTGTTCGGGTGCTTCAGGTTCTGATTCCTGAAGAGCCTCATTTTCCTCTTCGACCTGTTCAGGGATCGTGTCGAGTTGCTTTTGTTCCTTCTTCTGCTTCTTGGCTTTGGGCTCTACTGGGTAGATCAACTTGAATCTGCTTTGTCCTGTCCAGGACAATCCATTGAATGCATCAGGGAACTGATCATGCTCATCTTCGGTCCAAGATTTGTCATCCTCAAAGAACTCACGCTTGATGGGTTCCTCTCCATAGGTTTTCCTATCAGGCTTCAGGTTTGAGATCTCTACCGGGATATCTTTGGAATCTAGAGGATTGAACAATGCTTTCCTGGGCGAATGGTGGTACCTAATCACCTCAGTGCCATCATCACTGATCGACCAAACATCCTTAGTGTACTCTTCGAACATGCACCTGTCTTGGGCTTCTTTGGGTGTTCCTAAGAGGTTCACGGGAAACTCTTGGTTTGAAGCTAACGTCAACACCTTGTACTTCCTAGTTCCATCGAAGATCGCACCTGTAGGATTCTCTAGGTCTCCAAACATGACACTATGGTACAGTAGATGCCATTCCTTGTCATCATGAATGAGGACTGCTCTGTAGGGGTACTTTCCTGGCTGAAACTTGAGGTCAAAGTCCACATGCTGCGAAGTTCCTAGGCTGTAGTGAACTTGGTAAGGGTCTCTCCAGAATGACCATCCTATGCGCTGTTCCTCTACGACAGACTTGAGGTTTTCACACAAGTGTAAGGGTATCGGCTTTCCTGTGGATGCTGTGTTCACTGCTCTCACAAATGCTGTAGCAGTAAGTGAGTTGTTGCTGTAGTTGACTGCAATCTTGGTTGTTCCTTCTGTAAGGACGGTACCTGTCGCTGTGCCGTTCCTAAACTCCCAACCTTTCTTCATCAACTTTCCTACAGCAAGTAACGGGTGAATCACTGATGAAATCAAGAACACTTCCTCAACCTTCACGGTAACTCCTGAAATGTCCTGAAACTCAACCTCAATGATCCTTTGGTCCGAAACCTTGATCAACTTACCTTGAGCATCCCTCAGAACAACTTGTGCTTTCTCTGGCGCTTTCCTACCAAATCTCTTCATCCACATAGGTGCCAACGAAATGTCGGCTCCAGAATCCAGTACCACTTCGATCTCTCGGGACTGGTCCTGTCGGGCTGTCCTGACAAACAGCTGTTCCTGTTCGTCACCGTACCAATGGTACAGCATGTCGTCAAGTTCTTCACATTCCTGGGACTCATCTTCATCTCCTATCCAGAACTCTTCTGTTTCTTTTCTCTCTTCCTGACTCTCTTCACACGTAACTCTCAAGATCCTTCCGAAGTAGTCAATCTCAATTTCCTCTGAATCCTCGCTCAACGCAAACTCTTCCGGGAAACTCGTTGGGGGATCTCCAATGTACAGGCTTGTTTGAGTTGGAGGTTCCTTGGCTGCTTTGGCTTCTTTGAGACTGCTGGTACCTCGAGGCTGACGAAGGGGCTTGAGTTGAGGTTCCTGTTGTACTCTGTTGTTCGCTTTGGTTCTCTAGGTCTACGGTCCTAGCTTGGTATCCCATGTCCATCTGCTTCTTCCTACACTGTGCTTCAAAGTGTCCATACCTATGACAGTAGTGGCAAACTCCTGACGCTGACTGCGCTTTGCCTTTACCTTTGCCTTTGTAACTACCGAAGCCTCTACCATAGCCTTTTCCTCTACCTTTACCTCGGCCTCTGAAGCCTCTACCTCGACCTTTCCAATTGCCTCCTCGACCTTTGCCTCTACTTTTGCCTTTGCCTTTGCCTTTGTCCTTGCAGCCTGGGCGAAAACCCTGTGGAACCCAATGTGCCGGGGCCTACACAAGACCTTTGTCCTGGCCTCCACAACTCCCTCCTGCCCTGCCCGTCATTTGCAGCAAGGGACAAAAAAAACGCGGACTGTCTCGGGGCATGCACAACACAGCACGAACACTCACAGAACATGTCAAGGCTGCATTGCTGTGTCTCAAGAATGCACAAGAAGGCCTACCCTGCACTCCCGGGACGATGCCTTTCTTCACTCTCCTGTGGTGACTCGCGAAAAGGCGAAGCAAACCTAACCGGCCACGGCCCAGCACCAGGTGCCACATGTCCCCCTATCTACACAGCTGCTTAAGTCTACATCAATCTAAAGACCCTCGAAGTAGATAGGTCTATATATGTCTGTAGATCAATGTATCACATGTGGACACGAAACCCTTCCATGCTGTCTTGCTGGATAAGAAATCCCTGGCACCAGGCACTGCTGTACAGCAAAGAGAGGGCAGGAGTGAAACATACGGGGCAAGCAGAGTGCCGATGCGAAGCTGCCAATTTCGGGGCGACACCCGTTCAGGGCCCAGGCCGGTTTTTTTTGGACCCTCTCAAGACCCAGTGCCCTTATAAAGGAGGATTTCTTCGCCGAGACCCGAGCCCCAAAGCTTCCGGAACACAGGGCCTAAGTCTATCAGGTGTTGGGTGTTGGGTTATACACACAGGGCTCGCCCAAAGGCCCAAGGAGAGCAGCCGCTTGCACCAGCATCACTGACCTCTGGCCAGAATCACACGACCTTTGAAGACAGCTGTGCTTATTCCTTTTTCGTTTCCTGTTTCTGGTCGGAGGCACTCGGAACGAAAGTTTGCCCTTGGAGAAGCAGGGATGGGATTCGTAGCAGCAACCCTAAACCCTAGACCCTAGACCCGAAACCCTCAACCCTCAACCCTCAACCCTAAACCCTAAACCCTACATCATTACATCTTGCACAGCTTGTGAATGAAACCCCATGACCCTAGTAGCCATCCCTCTTCTCGAGCATGGAGGCCATACGATTGACTGCCTCCAAGGCAGAGCCAAGCTGATCTATGTGCTTTGCTTGCAGAGCGATCTTCTCCTCACTGTGTCTCGATCTCTTGGCTTGCTCCCTCTTGCCCCCCCTGAACCGAACACGGTCTCGGCCCCATCCATGCCTGCCACAAACAGGGTGTAGTTCCATTCTTAACTTATAAGACATGCCAATGAAAAAAGGGCGCAGGGTTTAGGGCTTGGGGTTTGCTACAAAACACGACACAAAAACGTTTGCCCAATCTCTGCCAAGTCACTCATAGAAGCGACCTTCGGGCGACACCCAACCACCCTTCACAGAGTGGCCCCCATTGCTCCCACTGGACGTCGAGCTCGAGGACCACGGCTCCTGCTTCGTGTGCTTGGGCCAGTCGGTGTTGCCCTCGCCATGTTCCTCCTCCTTTTTGCCATGCCACCAACCATCCCAGGAGGTGTCCTTCTCCTGGCCGACTTCGTGCTCGGCCTTGCACCACCAATCATTCGAGTCCCACCAAGTGCCCTCCTGTTTGGGGTCCATCCAGGCACACGTTTCCACCCCATCATCGTGGTGCTCCTGCTCCTCCTCCTCCTCCTTCACCAGGATGCGGTCGGCTTCGAAGGATCGGTCTCGCTTCAGTCCGGCAGCAGCCATGATTGCAAGCTCCAGGGACAAGAAGCGAAGGCCTTGAAACTGTTGTCGCAAAAAGCGGCTGCAGCACATGTACCAAGGTTAAGCTCATGCCACTGGCGACTCAGTCTGTGCCTACATCATCATGACAGGAGACTGCGTGCGAGCTTCACATGTGGACTGCATGACAAGCTCTCTGCTCAGAACACTGCAAACTTCTGTCGTTCTAACAAGACAAAATTACATAGCCTGGCTGCAAAGCACTGCTTTTCAACCCCCGGTTCCTCCATATGCCTAGTCTTCCTCGCCATGCTCAGCTTGTGGAGCAATCGCAGCCTCTGCTGGATCAGGCTCGAGCAGGTTGCTCCTAGAATGGGGCTTTCTGCCTCGCTTCTTGTGTCGCTTGGGGCTGCCTTGAGGGCTGCCTTTGGACTTCCTTTTAGAAGCTGGCTGCACATATGCTGGGGACTCTTGAATTGCATGCCTCACATATTGGAGATTGGCTTGGGACAACTTGATCCACACTTCCCCACGAACAGCCCACAGTACGCGCAGTTGCCTGCCTTCCTGGATCATGTCCTCGCCCTTGTACACAGGCGGCACGTCCACAACAACGAAACGGCCGATCAGGTACTCGTCTTCCTGCGTTGCTGCTCGCACTTTCGTGGGCGGTGGCTTCCCCTCCGCTTCGGCCGCCTCCTCCATGACTCTGCGAACTGCAGCATTGCATGCCTCCAGACGAAGCTTGGCCAACTCTGCGAAAAAGACAACATTGATGTTGTGCACTGGCTTCTTTCCCTCCCGGTGGAGATTCATCGGTTTCTGTGTGCACAGCAACGTCAGATACCTGTCCCACTTGGACAGTTTTATGTACTCTACCCCACCGACTGTCTGCACAGCCGGCATCCAAGCAGTCCTCAGCCCAGGACCTTTGACGCAGGTGGCTTTGTAAATGGAGATTTCCTCCTGCTCTTCATCCTCGCCTGCAGCAACTAACTCTTTGGCCATCTGCTGGTGTAGAGAGTACAGCGAGCCCGGCCCTGCTGTACAAGTCTGCGAGCTCTGCAGCCCTGCAGACCTAAATCGAAGAGGTCTGTCTACCCTCGAACCTCTCACAGCACTTCGTATACGAGCTATGGGAATGCACTGTGCAAGCTCTTCTCATGAAGGCAGGCCTGGAAGGCACACAAAGCTGCGCTGTCCAACTGTCCAACCCTAGAACTCGGCATGAGCTCACACGTTTTTATAGAGCCTTCTGCCGGGTCGCCTCCACAGGATGCAACAGAAACGGATCCGAATTGACACCATCAACCCTATAAACCCTATAAACCTTATATAACATGTCACCCTAAACCCTAAACCCTAAACCCTAAACCCTAAACCCTAAACCCTAAACCCTAAACCCTAAACCATGACCACACTGACTCTGCAACGATGCCGAAGTTGCATCCTTCACAGAGATGCCTCCACAAGGAGCCTCTCTCAAATCCTAGCACGACATCTGCAAGACTCTTCATGGTGAAGCGAAGAAGCGTGCTCATGAGATTCGCTGTCTCTTGCTGATCGGCACCAGGGGCTCGACCGGCTCCGATGCTTTCTGGTACTCTGGCCGAAAGAACACCAAGCTGTCACCAGCATTGATTTTCTTGAAGTTTTTCACGACGGGAAGCTGAAGCTTGGTCATACCGATGCACAACTTCTGTTTGCTCCATTCCCCTGGGCCTGACAGTTCCAGGTTGGAGTCTTCCTTGTCGGGCGAAACCTTGCAAGCCCAGGCTGGGCTGATGAAGCCAGGATTGGAATCTTTCGGGATTTGCATGGCAGGCGTGAGGAAGAAGGACATCTCTTCTGGAAAGATTCCTTTGATGGAGCCTATCATGACCGACCCTTGCAAAGGAGCTTGGCTGGATGGCCGAACATCCAGCCGAGTGGTGGCCACTGGGAGTCGCAAGGCACCAGGGGGAAAGCTCTCAAGTGCCTGCACATCCTTGGAGGGTTTCAAGATCACCTGCAAGGATTTGTCGTGCTTGAAGGCATGGTACTGTTCCCACATGGCCTGCATCACCTCGCCCTTCAAAGTGGCTAGAAAAAAGTCGGGGGCATGAGCAGGTGAGGATTGCCACCAATCAACCAAAGGCACAGGCGATTGCTTGGGGACATGCTTCTTCCATTTCCCCTCAATGAAAGACTGCGACGAAACCCGGCACGCGCTGGAATCCTGCAAGACCAAATCCACATGCTCGGCTGTCATGCTCTTGATGGTCCCAACCACCTCGTCCGCCTTCCTCATGACAAGGTTACCAACCTCAAACCCCATCTCAACAAGCCTTGCATCGTTCAGGAGCTTGCCGGAGTTGTCGAAGAGTCGAAGAGCCCTCATCATGCAGGAACATCAACGCCGGAACGAATGAACCAAAACAAAAACCTTATATATCCCCACAAACAAATTCATAAGTTTACTCGGGCAGACTGAGCACATACCTGCTTCACTGTCCTTGGAAGGAGATGTTTGTGCTGGGGCCTGGGTGGAGGACGATGACTGCAGCACATGGGCCCAGGGAGACGACATGCCAAGTCCCTGAAGACAATCGTTACAGACACTCTCCAAACTGGTCCTCTGGCTGACCTTCCTCTTCTGCAACAGCACAGCTGCGAACTCAATCTCCACTTCTGCAAGTGTGGCTGCTGCCACCTCTGGGGTGAGGTGAGTGGCCGAGGAAAGAATGCGCTGCATCTCACTGGCCATCTTTTCGGCTTCGGCAGCCTTGGCAAGCACATTGCTTTGCAAGGCTTTCTTGACGTCCGAGCTTGTCAAGGTTCGCTCGGGGCCGGTGAAGCCTAGCTTGAGGAGCATGTGCCTCCATGGCACATATTGGCACTTCCCTTTCACCTCCATAGCCAATGCCTGCCACACTTCAGGACCGAGAGCTCTTTTGGGTTGTCCGTGAGCCCGAATGTGTCGCTCCGACCTCCCAAAGAAGGAGTCGGCACCAAGCCCCCCTCCGCATTTCAACACGAACATGAATATTCCAGGAAGAGCTGAAGCACTTGGTGGTCTGGACCTGAGAATGTCAGGTGCCACATCGTTGTAGACAACCGTGGTCTTCCCACTTCGTTTCAACAGCCCATCTATGGCCACAGTGACCTTGCGTGCGAGCTGGAGCTCATGCTCAACCGAAGCGATTTGACCGGAGGCGTTGCCGGCCGCCTGTGCAAGGCGAACATAGTCAGGATGACTCTCTGTGACGTCGTGGCTGATGACCAGCCCTTCCAGCCCATCCTGGATGGCAGCATGCCAGCTAGGGTCGACTTGTGCCAACTTCGTCAATGACAAGAAGCCATCAACCGTCACCTTCGGGTCCTCGTGTGCCACACCAGCTTTGAAGCATCGGTTGGCTTGGTTTGCATGACTGCCTATGATGCTTGCATATTTCAAGCTGGCACAGTCGACCGGAGCCAACTTCCCGAAGGCCTCTGAGGCAAGTTGCAGGTTGAACTGCCGAATGTGGTCTCCACGACCATCTGCAGGAACCTCTACGCAGACCCCCTTGGATTCTGCAGCAACAAATCCGATGGAATGGATGTCGGTGATGAGCTCTGCCACATGGGCAACACTGCAGCCGATTCCGTCCCTGTTGCCTGGATGCACTCCGATGAGGGCACAACTGAGCTTCATCTTCCAAGCATGTCCCTTTTGGACTAAGAACTCGTGAAGAGCCTGAATGCTCTCCTTGCTGCTTTCGCAAGAAAGCTCGCCACGATCTGCTCGTCCTCGCCACTCAGAACCATGGCTAGCCGTAGCCTTCTGCTTACAAAGTGCACTGGGGTCCTGCGAGCAAAGCCCTGCAAGACCGAGCTTCGCGAGCATATGCCCTGCAAAGCTTCATGAGCATCTGAGCAAGAGCAAGAAAATGTGATGTGTCTCACCGAAGTTCGCCCCAGCCAAGCCAAACAAGTAGCCAAAAAACACACACACACACACACACATCCCTGCCATTGAAGCAACCTTGCCGAAAAAACAGAAATATCCCACACACCATCAACATTTCTAGGCACCCACAACCAAGTTCAAGCCTTCTTTGCCCGAAAGTGAACCCTGCAGGACTAAACTACATCCCCCCTCCCCCTCCCACCCCCTTCGAAGAGAGCTGGCCTTCGGCCAGCTGCAGCTGCAGGGCCCGGCAGCCCAGGCAAAGGCGGCAGGAAACTTTAAGGCTTATAGGGGCTGTTCTTTGTTTGTTTCCCTGTCTCTCTCTGTCTGTCTGTTTGTCTGTCTGTCTGTCTGTCTGTCTCTCTCTCTCTCTATATATATATATCTGTAGATATATGTACATACATAGCTATGCAGATATATTTATGTAACAGAGATATAATTCCGTCCTTCACAACTGTTTTCGAGGAAATCGTCCCTATATGGTGGTTGGGTTTCTTTCAAAAAACTCGCTGAGGTGCACTTATACAAGCAACTAAACTAAGTCACTTAGGCTGGTTAGCTAAGTGATTACAGACTTCAAGTAACTGCTTATCTCCGGCGCAATTAATTAAGTATTTACCTGGGTTGGTGTTAAGTGCTACAACTACATACCTAAGAGTTATCTTTCAGGCATAACCACTTCGCCCTTGCTATAATTCCAGCCTAGTCATTTAATAACTCATGTTAACAATTGCACAACATAGCCTCATGCACTTAGACCGCTTGGACGACTTGGTAAGTACACTTAGACCACATAGCTAACCACTTGTTCTTCCCACTAAGTGGCCTAAGCCATTACTAAACAAAGCGACCCTCCAAGTACTGGTACTTCTTCGATTCAGAAGGAAAAAGTCCCGGTGAAGGAAGATGGGTGAAGCAGCACAAGGACAAGAACGGCAGGAAAGTTTGCGATGAGCAGCTCAAGAAGTTCGAGAAGTTCATGGAGGAGAAGGGAAAAGGAAAAGGAAAAGACAAAAGCCAGGAGAAAGGAGAAGAAGGAAAAGGAAGCAGCAGCAGCAAGGACGTCGACGACGGCTACTACGAGATCACAAGCTTTTCGTGAAGAAGAAGGAAAGAACAGTGAGCTTGGCAGTGAGAGCAGAAAGGATGGTGTATCCATCCTAGCTCTAGGAAAGTTTTCTTTTGCAGTTTGTTTCAGGATGATGATCCAAGTAAAGTAAAGTAGGAACAGCAGAGATTTGTTTTGTACAGGATAGTAGACATTTCGTTTGAAGGAAATGTGAGCGAACTTGGAGAGATTCGCCAGTGGACTTGAAAGAGTCTGCGTTGAGGAAAGAGTTTCAAACACATGTGTGTGTTCAGGAAAAGGAAAGTCGAAGCCAGCTTAGTCGTCACTACGACTTTCACTAACTTCGAAGGCGGGGTGTTAAACATTCCAGCCTAGTAGGAACACACTGTTGTATGTGTAGGAGAATGAACAGATTGAGCCAGGAACCGACTTTGTGGCCCAGGCTCAAAGGAGACTCCCCAGTCTCAGAAGGAGAGACAGGACAGGAACCACGGCAGAGCGGTGAAGCGAAAAGTGAGCCGCAGTGGTGGTTTAGGAAACCCTTTAGGAAAGCCCGTTCTTTAACATTTTGCCCAATACGCTACTTTGAGTGAGTGTGCAGAGAGTAGGAACTTTGTTCTGAAGCTCGTTTAAGCTCACCACTGAATTCGTTTAGTTTGCGCACTTCGTGACTTTTGGCTCAAGACTGCGAGTGAAAAAGAGTGTGTCCGCACTTGGTTTAGATAGGTCGGGTTCGTGCTTTCAAGGGAAAAGGTACCAGAGGGACCTTCGACTTTTAACGGCAAGCCCCGATTTGGAAGTTGCACCTTGGTTCAGCATTAGGTGAAGGCTTAACAAGAGCTGGAACGGGAGCCATGATGGCCCTGTGCTCGTGCAAGTGGCTGTTCTGTGGAGACCGAGCTTACAGGCACTGCGCCACCGCACCAGCAACAAATGACAACATCCACCCAAGCCATCCACCCCTTCTCAACAGGATTTATGGCAATCTCGGGCTGCTTTTCTGTTTTTATCTCTGTGCTGCTCACACTCCAATCCAAAACTCACATGTAGCCTGCGCGCGGCCACGGTCGTCTAGGCCGTTGAGGTCAGAGTGGCTTGCTTGCGGCTTCTGTCTCTTGACTTCTACATGGGTGTTTTGGGGAAAAGACTTTCCTAGAGTCCTAGAGTCCTAGAGGAAAGATTCAGTCACCTTCGTCCAGTGTCAATCAATTCTTCATGCCGGAGTCGTGGAAACAGGTACTCCCAGTGATCTGTTCCAGGTGGAGCTCACAGGAAGTGCTAAAGTCCATGTTTTTAAAATAAAAACGCTTACTAGCTTTACAGAGCTTTTTTGTGAACCCAGTTAGTAAGAGCGAAAACGCTGGCATCCTGGGCTACCCTCGCCTTCCTTGGTGGCTTTGCTGAAAGGTCTGACGAAATGAAGAAGAACTGAGCAACAGTCTTTCTCACATGACCTTTCTCAGTTTGAGGTTTTGGCTTTCCGCAGCAGTTGACGAGAGCAGAGACCTGGTCCTAACTTACCCCTAGGAGGTAGAGAGGCCTGAGCCAACCTCCCTTAAAGGGGGTGAGGTTTAACTTTGCATGTTAATTCAGGCTCTACGGAGTATGGTCAAAAACCGCGTATGATTTGTGCATGTTTCGATGGTGATTTGAATCTTAAAGTAGGTGTGGTGAGCATGTACATAGTTTCTGGGATGATGAAAGTCGTTCGTTTGTCGAACGTTGTCCGTTTGTTACCCGAATCCTAACTAAGTGGGACGTGGGATAACCGTTATTTCTTCGAGGTGTCTGTAGGCAAGTCTAGACAGCTGGTAGAGCAGGTCTGCTGAGTTTTGGTCGGGCTGGAAAGTTTTTGAAATGACTTGGTCTTGCCTTGTAACTGCAGGACCTCAGCATGCCTGGAAGGCCTGCAGTGAGTGTTTAAAGCCGCGTTCATTCTTTGGCTCAAGTGACGAGCCTGGCTCAGGGCGCAAGGCCACGAGCTTCTGCAAACGTCTTTCGCCTGAGAGTGAAAAGGTGTGGTAAGTGCTTGCTTACTGTGTGGGTTGTGGGGTTTGGTAGTTTTCCCTGTTTCCTTGACCTTAAGTGCGTAGGGTTTCTTAGGCTGCTTTGCCCTATAACGGTTTGAGTTGAGCATGAAGTACGCTTGATGTGACTTTGTGTTTCTGCAAGTTTTGAGCTTGGTTGACTTTGCCAAGCACCTGTGTCCATAAGGCGCTTGGAGTGTGGAAGACTCTGAGGGGACGCTTGGAACGGCCTTAGCTTTTGTTTGGCTGTGAAGCAAGATTCGCACAGTTGCTTGCCTGGCAGTTTGAGCTCAGAGGAACTGGACTTGTGGCTTCTGGTTTTTCTTGGCCCCAGAATGTTTTTTTCTTGACTCCGCCGGATTCTGCATTCAAAAGTATCCTTTTGGCCCCGATTTCCAGCCTCGTTCTGGGATTGAGAAAAAGACTATTATTCTCAACCCCATTTGCACATTGAAAATCTTTTCCACCACAATTTTTTTCAAACCATCAAATTGTCTTTTTGTGACCCCGGCAAAACAGAAGAACTTCAGAAAAGAAGCAAGATCAACAGGTCTTCACGTTTTTGAACATGAAAAAATGATGCAGAAAGTTTGAGAACACGCAGATCTTGACCCTCACACAATGTTTGCTTTGTGTGATGACTGACAGAATCTGCGTGTTCTCAAACTTCCCGCATCATTTTTTCATGTTCAAAAAACGTGAAAACCTGTTGATCTTTCTTCTTTTCTGAAGTTCTGCTGTTTTGTCGTGTCACAAAAAAGACAATTGATGGTCTGAAGAACGATTTGGGGTTGAAAAAAACATTTTCAGGTTTGGAAAAGATTTTGAATGTGCAAATGGGGTCTTTTTTCAACCGCAGAACGGGACTGGAACAAAGATCGGGGCCAAAAAGGAGATTTTATGAATGCAGAATCTGACGGGGTCCAGAAAAGGACATCCTGGAACCAAGAAAAAAGAAACTCTGTGTGAGCCTGTCTTTTCTTGGCCCCGTGCTGTGGTTGAAAACAAAGACAAAAGTTTGTTTTCCGGCCCCGAAGCGCGTTTTCAAACAAAAGAAGACGGCAGGGTTAATAAAAAGACAGCTCCTGGACTTGAATGGTTTGGCACACAGCAGAAAACAACTAACCTTGGTTGAAGCTTTGTTTGCTTTGACTGGCAGTGTTCCCGAACCCTGTGTTCGAACTCTTGCGGGGGGGGAACTGCTGTTGGTTTGAGGGCAAGCCAGAAACCGTGATAGCACAGGCAACTTTGCAAAGATCTCCAGTTGTGATATCTCTAATCTGCTTGGACCCTGTTCTTGTTTGGTTGTCTAAACCCTATCAGCACTGCGCGAATCTTAGAGATTGAGTCACAAATCCCAGAGACAAAAGCACAGCTGCAGATGGTTGTGCTATCAGCGTTCTCACAACTCCCATCTCGAATCTTAAGCACAGGCAAACCTATAGGTCAGCGCATGTTACCCGGGATGAGATCCGATTTTCTGGAGTTCATCGCTCCAATTGAGTTTATGGCTCCTATTGCGTTTTGACCTACAAGAATCTCCATTCTTAGCACCCACACAAGTAGCAGAACTACCTGGAGTGTTGTAATTGTGAGTCCGAAAGAAACCCCTAGACCTAAACCTTAAACCCTAAACCCTAGACCCTACACCCTACACCCTAAGCCCTAAGCCCTAAGCCCTAACCCCAAAGCCCAAAGCCCTAAGCCCTAAGCCCCAAGCCCCAAGCCCCAAGCCCTAAACCCTAAACCGTTCACGGATGTTTGCCGCTGCGTGGGAACATGTGGCTCGAGCCGGTTTTTTAAGCTACGCCCCGCCCCGCCCCGTTCCTGCACCATAG